ATTTCTGCTCCTTGTTTTCAGTTTTTAAGACTTGAGGCTATTTTTAATCTTCATGGAGTGAACCCTCCACCAATATTCACATGTTATTCAATGCTCAATTCATTAAACATCTCAGTAAGCAGAATTTGGAAACATAAATTTTCTTTAACATTTAAACATTGGTTGCAAACTTCATTAAACATAATTCAACAATTTAAACTGTAATTATAAATTTAAATATATTCTTTTTTAAAAAAAGATTTATTTGAAAGGCAGAGTTACAGAGAGAGAGAGAGATCTTCCATCCACTGGTTCATTCCCCAAATGGGCACATGGCTGGGGCTTGGCCAGGCCAAAGCCAGGAGCCAGGAGCTTCTTCCGGGTCTCCCACATGGGTGAGGGGCCCAAGGACTTGGCCATCCTCCACTGCTTTCCAGGGTACATTAGTAGGGAGCTGGATTGGAAGTGGAGCAACTGGGACTCAAACCAGTGCAGCTGGCCTCTCAGGCTGCACCACAATGCTGGCCAATATGGGGACTCTTTTGAATACACGTTAAGCAGTGCCCAAGATAAACACAAAGGCAATTATCTGACTTACTATGATTTTAGTTAAATCTATAAAGAGCCCGGCACAGGGGTTAACCCAGTACTGCGTTGCTGTTTCCTGCTACCTGTTTCCCTCCGGGAATAAGAGACGTCCCCAAGGTTGCTGAACAACTCCTTTGGATGCTTTCTTGGCATTACTGAAGCCCGTCAGTCTCCCCCCAAAGTGAAATGCCCCCCACGTGCAAGGCCTGCGGAGCTGCACAGTCAGGCTTCCCCGCAGAGGGAGTCACAGCTGGGCGCTCTCTCCCAGGGAGCTGTCTTCTGGTAAAACCTCCCCTGCCACCTCAGCAGTTCTTTCGGTGTGTGAATCGTCCACATTCTGTTTGTGTTTCTGCGGTCCCCTCCCCTGAAATGGTGGGCCCCGGTATTTCCACTTGGCCAGGGTTCTGTGGTGGGGACACAAATTGCTGTGTTAGTGTCGTTAAAGACATATGCTGCTTTGCCATCGTGTCCTAACAACTAACGGGTCATCCAGTGGCTTCGTCTCCTGGGGACAAGGATCGCACCTGCACGTTGGCAAACTCAGGGTCTCGGATGCCTTCTCCCTGGCCTGGAGGGTGAGCCTGGGCACTGGTTACCTAGCGATCAAGTAGCCACAGCTGCTGGGCAGGCCGTCCTGTTTTAGGAACAGTTCCAACCATTTCCAGGTCTGTTTGGTTCTGCTCCGTGGCTTATCTCTTTTTAGTTGCTGGTGGGAGTAAGCGTGTATCTGTTATAAACAGACGCACACTTGGAAGAATCACACCTGCCCATTCCTCTTGGCATCTTAAAAATTCAAACCTGTGAAACACTGGAAGTCCTAACATATCCATTCCTCTCTTCTGTGTGGTAATGCCTTTTGTAACAGCTTACAGTAACTTTTCTCCTTGCAGTATTATTATCAATTTAGAAATTTCACAAACTAATTATAACACTCTTGGGTGCCTACCTCCCTGTTCATTATTCTAGCTCTTTTGCTTATTAATGGGGTCCCGAATACATCGTGACTAGGTTAAGATAATCATAGTGTTCCATCTCCCTTTCCTGTTTCATCTGCTGGTTCACTCCCCAAATACCCTGGGAGCCAAGAACTCAATCCGGGTCTCCGATGTGTGTGCCACACGCAATCACGTGAGCTGTCGCCACCTCCGGGCCGTGCCCAGCAGGCAGCAGGAGTCGGCAGCTGGAGCACTCTCATGTGGATGTGACATCTCAGTTGCCCGGCTGAAGCCCCCCCCCCCCATCCCGTTGCCTGTTTAAAGGTTTTGGGTTTGCCAGTCAGTTTTGGTCAAAAAGAAGGAGACTGTGAAAGTTGTCAGACTCAAAATCGAGTCATTCACGTCAAACCGACAAGATGGAGTGGGAAGGGAGGGGAGGGGGGAGGGAGGGTCCTCACGCACATGTGCCTGGTGACAGAAATGACGGCAAGAAGCTCCACCAAACTGCAGACTTAACAAAACAAGATTGCTTGATTGATCTGAAAAGAGGGAGGGAGGGTGGGAGGGAGAGATCCATCTTCCATCTGCTGTTTCACTCTCCCAGTGGCCACAACAGCCAGGGTTGGGCCAGGCCAAAGCCAGAGGCTGCCATGTGGGTGGCAGAGGCCCAAGCACATGGACTTGCTGCTTTCCCAGGTGCATGAGCAGGGAGCTGAATGGGAGGCAGAGTAGCTGGGGCTGGAACCAGCCCTCTGATATGGGGTGTGGGCATCACAGGTAGTAGCTTAACTGCCGCACCACAGCGCTGGGCCCAACTGCAGTCTTGTTGCTGAAGGCCGTGTTTGTATTAGAAACCCAAATCTGGGCCGGCCCTGTGATGTAGCGGGTACCACCTGCAGTGCTGGCATCCCATATGGACTCCGGTTCGAGTCCCAACTGCTCCACTTCTGATCCAGCTCTCTGCTGTGGCCCGGGAAAGCAGTGGAAGATGGCCCAAGTCCCTACACCCACATGGGAGACCCAGAAGAAGCTCCTGGCTCCTGGCTACCGATCGGCGCAGCTCCAGCTATTGCGGCCATCTGGGGAGTGAACCAGCGGATGGAAGACCTCTCTCTCTCTCTGCCTGTCCTCTCTCTGGGCAACTCTGACTTCCAAATAAATAAATAAATCTTAAAAAAAAAAAGAAAAGAAAAGAAGCCCAACTCGGCTCTCGGGAGTTGATGCAGGTAAAAAGGACCATTGTGGCTGTTGGGCTGCTTTTGGGGGGGGGGGGCTGAAAAGGAGCAAATTTTCCTGATAACCAATTCCTACAAATTAATAAGAAAAAGATCAAAACTCGATGGAAAGATGGAAGAGGCAGCTCACAGGAAAGGAAGTACAGATGGCCCCCACAACATGAGAATATGCTGCATCTGACTCGTAATAGGAGAAACGCAAATTAACATGAAAGCGAGGGTGTCATCTTTCACCAGGGAGGCCTAGTCATAGGGTAGAAGCGGCTGTTAGTACACCAGTGGCTGTGAGCGTGAGGCGGTCTCCCTCCCGGCCCCCTCATGGGAGTGTGCCTTGGGAGAACTTTCCATGGAGGACAAGTTAGCAATTGCTGGCAGCGTTCCACATGCTCTGGCCTATGTCTTCCATGGCTCAGGGTCGTGCCTTACAGGTACACTTACATAGACAAGATTGCACGTGCGGTTCCCTTCCCTCCGTTACAAAGGATTGCCAACAACCTGCAGAGTCTATAGTGCTACAGCAAACCAGTGAAAAGGAACCTCTTCATGTCCTGAGGCTGGACACTGCAACATGGAAAAAGCAAGGCGCGAACGCTGTGAGAATTACGCTACCTCCCGGAGGAGGACAGAATGACGGCTGTGTGTTTGCTTGGGGACCCTCCTGGAAGACAGAGGCTCAGAGAGACCGTGGGCGAGTGGGAACTGGGGCTTTCGGCTAAAAGGTGGGGAGAAACTGGCATTTCTCCAGAAAAAGATAAAGCGAAAGCACACGTCACAAACGAGTCTCTGTTGACTTTTGTTTTATCAGACTGTGTTACCTGCCAAGATGGCACCAGAATTTTTTTTTAAGATTGATTTATTTATTTGAAAGTCAGCGTTACACAGAGAGAGGAGAGGGAGAGAGAGAGAGAGAGAGAGAGAGAGAGAGAGAGGTCTTCCATCAAATGGTTCACTCCCCAGATGGCCGCAATGGCTGGAGCTGTGCCGATCCGAAGCCAGGAGGCAGGAGCCAGGAGCTTCTTCTGGGTCTCCCACATAGTATAGGGGCCCAAGCACTTGGGCCATCTTCTACTGCTTTCCCGGGCCATAGCAGAGAGCTGGACAGGAAATGGAGTCTCTATTTTTTTCTGTCTATCTTATTGGACAGGCAGAGTGGATAGTGAGAGAGAGAGACAGAGAAAAAGGTCTTCCTTTTTGCTGTTGGTTCACCCTCCAATGGCCGCCACGGCTGCGGCCGGCTCACCGCGCTGATCCGAAGGCAGGAGCCAGGCGCTTCTCCTGGTCTCCCATGGGGTGCAGGGCCCAAGCACTTGGGCCATTCTCCACTGCCTTCCCGGGCCACAGCAGAGAGCTGGCCTGGAAGAGGAGCAACCGGGACAGAATCCGGCACCCCGTCTGGGACTAGAACCCGGTGTGTGGGCGCCACTAGGTGGAGGATTAGCCTAGTGAGCCGCGGTGCCGGCCAGGAAATGGAGTCTTGAACCGGCGCCCATATGGGATGCCGGCGCTTCAGGCCAGGGCATTAACCCACTGTGCCACAGTGCTGACCCCGGCACCAGAATTTTAAAAAATTAAAAAAAAAAAATCAACCTTACCTGTTGTTTGTCTCTCAGTGGGTAAGGGTTTATTATCATTATTATTACCATTATCATTATTATTTTTTATCACCGGTCGGGTCTTCGGTGCAGTGCAGTCCAGCAGACACCAAGCCGAAGGTGCTGGGGGCTGCAGGACCCTGCTGGGCGGAGCGCCCAGGGCAGTAACAGCAGCGCCTACTAGGCGGAAGCCGTGCTGGGAGGCGAGCTGGCTGGTTCTGGTGTCTTGGAACTGCCAGGGAATTCCACGGAAACACTGGCGTCTAATCGGGACGCAGAAGGCTGAGCGGAGCTTTCCTGGAGGGAGTTCTATGGACAGGCAGCACCGCGGGTTCTGGGGAATGCGGGTCTCCAGCCCGGGGTGGAGGGGTGCGGTGGGACACGGAGCCTGGGGCAGAACGGGGGCAGATTCTTCCTTCTTGCCGGGTTTCTGCCCCAATCCTCATTTACTCTCCGTCGCACCCTCCTCCCACCAAAGCAACGGTTTGCACGCCCTGTTCCCGCCTTTCGGGGTCGGGGCTGAGCTCGGAGCTGCGGGGAGCTGCGGGCCCCTCGCGAGGCTAGGCGGGGTTAGTTGGAGACGAGCCATCCACACCCAGACCCGGCCCCAGGCGTCCGGCGGGGCGGGCCCTGGGGCTCTGTATTTAGCGCGGCCCCTCGTCTTCGCCCTCACAAGGCGTGCAACGACCCTGGGCAAGATGGGTGTCTATCGCGTCTGCGTGTCCACCGGGGCCTCGATCTACGCGGGCTCCAAAAACAAAGTGGAGCTGTGGCTGGTTGGCCAGCACGGAGAGGTGGAGCTCGGGTCGTGCCTGCGGCCCACACGGAACAAGGTGAGCCGTCAGGACGCGGGCGCGACGGGGCTGAGTCTTGGGTTCGTCCAGGTCGGAGGAAGACACCACCCTCTGCGCCTCGCCGGCCGCGGGAAGAGCGCGCGTCGGGAATGGGGGCCGGTGGGCACTAGGGCAGGCTCCGTCCACATCCCGGGCTCCCGGCTTCCTGGCAATAGAGGGGACACCCCTGCGCCCCCCCCCCCCATTCCGCATCCTCTGGTCTTGAAGCAGCGGCCATCCGAGTGGCCGTCGGGCCTCCTGGATTTTGCTTTATTTATTTATTTTACAACGGTTACTCCAAACCTCCTCTTCCTGTGCCGGATCTCCGACCCTTTGGGTGCAGCACCCGCGGGGTGGGCGGGGAAAAGGTGTCGGGGAGAAGGCAGGGTCTGGGAGCGCTCTCTCTTCCCTCCCAGTTCCCGTCGCCTGCGACAGCTCCCTCCCCTGTCCCTGGAGTCCAGATGTCCGTTCCACCGCGGACAGTGCAGTGGAACCGTGGTCCACGGAGGTCCTTCCCCGAACTCGCGCCTCCCCACCTCTCTCCGCCTCGGTCTAAGCAAGACTGGAGCGCAGTCAATTCTGCCTCTTGGGCAACCCGGGCATCCGTGCCCTGATGTTCCCCCCACTGTGGACCACCAGTGGCCCCTGCGTTCTGTGTCCCCCGCACCCTCTTAGCTGGTCCCTCTGTGCCAGACCGTCAGAGTCCTTCTGAAACCAGAACGACCCCCACACCCCCAACACGCACACCCCAGTACCTGTCCCGGCGGAAGAGGCTCAGCCCTGGCGGACAAGGGCAGGAGCGCGCCCCGAGCAGGTGGCCTCAAGACCCCATTCCAGGAAGCCGGCGCCACGTCCTGGCAGTTGGTCAAGGAGGCGAATTCGTCCGGGGAGACCCCCCAGGGCTGCGGGCGCACGGGGCTCCACCTGACCTGGGGCCAGGCCTCTGGGGGGGCATTCAGTCTCAGAGGGGTCGTGCAGGTGCACTGGGCTTAGCTAGGGAGGGTGAGAGGGACGGGCGGCGGACAGGCGAGCCACCCTGGGGAACTGGTGTGAGCAGAGGGAGGGGAAGACGTGTGCCGCGGTGGAGCTGGGGGCACCGGGTCGTGAGGGTCTCGGAGGTCCAGCCAGAGCTTTAGATTGGTCTTTAGATTGAGCCTCTTCTGCCGCTTGCAGGAGGAGGAATTCAAGGTGAACGTTTCCAAGTACCTGGGATCGCTGCTGTTCGTGAGACTGCGCAAAAAACACTTTCTCAAGGAAGACGCCTGGTTCTGCAACTGGATCTCCGTGCAGGCCCTCGGGGCCGCTGAGGACAAGTACTGGTTCCCGTGCTACCGCTGGGTGGTGGGCGACGGCGTCCAGAGCTTGCCAGTGGGCACTGGTGAGCGCGGGATTGGGGGTGCGAGGAGGGCTCCGGGGCACGGGAGAGGGGCCTGCGTGTGAGGAGAGGGTGCAGAGCGGGCGTGAGGGGTGGGTGAGGCTGGACCCGGGAGTCAGGGCGTCTCGGGGGGTTGCTGGAGCTGATAGAGGGTGCTGTGCAGGCTGGGACCCGCTGAGGATGCGCGCTGGGCGGGGCGCGGGGCGTGGCTTCTAGGAAGCTCCTTCCTTCTAGGCTGCACCACGGTCGGGGATCCGCAGGGCCTGTTCCAGAAACACAGAGAGCAGGAGCTGGAAGAGAGAAGGAAGCTGTACCAGTGAGCCCCCCTGCCCCTCCCCCACTGGGAGCTGCTGAGCAAGGGCGTCTGGGGGCCTGATCTTACTTCTGTCCCACAGGTGGGGGAGCTGGAAGGAGGGGTTAATCCTGAACGTGGCGGGGTCCAAGTTAACTGACCTCCCTGTGGATGAGCGATTTCTGGAGGACAAGAAAATCGACTTCGAGGCTTCGCTGGCCTGGGGGTGAGAGCCAGGGGCAGGGTGGGGGGGTGTCGTGGTTTGCCCCTGGCTGCACGCAGGTCGGTGGCGACGGCGGTTGTAACGTTGGATTCTCCCCTGAAGGCTGGCAGAGCTCGCTTTGAAGAACTCGCTCAATATTCTGGCTCCCTGGAAAACTCTCGATGACTTCAATAGGATTTTCTGGTGCGGGCGGAGCAAGCTGGCGAGTCAGTCCTGAAAACTTGGCCCGGGACCCCTGCCCCCCAGATGGAGAGAACCCGGGGGGTGGGGGTGGGAGAGCAGAGGCTTGGGTCCCTCTGGTCGGCTGGGGTCAAGTGGGAATGGCTCGGTGGGGGCTGGGAGGAGCTCAGGACCCTCAGGGAGCTCAACAAGTGCCATCCCCAGGGCGGGTGCGGGACTCCTGGCAGGAGGACTCCTTGTTCGGGTACCAGTTTCTCAATGGCGCCAACCCCATGCTGCTGAGGCGCTCTGTCCAGCTTCCTGCCCGCCTGGTGTTCCCTCCGGGCATGGAGGAGCTGCAGGCCCAGCTGGAGAAGGAGCTCAAGGTATGGACGTCAGAGCCCTGAGGGGGCGTGGCCAGTGGTCGTGTGGGCGGGAAGGCTGTAGCAGCCTTATGGGTCTGGCTTGCTGCAGCTCAGCAAGAGGGGGTTCTCAAGAGAACTCCCGGACAGTGTATTGTGGAGGGCAGGTGAGCAAGGTGGGATGGTTGATGGAGACAGAATAACAATGAAGAAATGCAGCTTGGGCGGAGGGGGGCTGAAGAGTAAGAGTCGGGGGGTGGTGGTCAGGGGGTAGGGCTGTGAGTCAGGAGCTAACAGTGGAACCACTGAGAGAGAAAGTTCACCCCGGGACACGGGGTTTGAATCCTGGCCCTGCTCTCTGTAAGGCGTGAGAGCTCGGGCAGGTTCTCAGCCTCTCTGATCAGCCGCTCCCCCTCCTGGAACGCTGGGGCACTCTCAGGTAGAGTGGGTGGGCACGATGGGCAGTGAGAAGCACCGGGTCCAGCACCCGGCACGAAGTGGTGCTGGGGACAAGTTAGTTCTCTTCTTCCTCGGGGGTGGAGGGGTGGCGAGGAGACGGCGGGTGTGCCGACGGCCGTCCTGTGCTCTCTGCATGCAGGCAGGCACGCTGTTTGAAGCCGACTTCGCCCTGCTGGATAACATCAAGGCCAACGTCATCCTGTATTGCCAGCAGTACCTGGCTGCCCCGCTGGTCATGTTGAAACTGCAGCCCGATGGGAAACTCATGCCTATGGTCATCCAGGTGTGGGCACCCAAGATTTCTCGTCCCCGGTGTGTGGCCTTCTCGGCTCAGCCACCATCAGGCCTCAGTGGTTCTCTGGGAACACACTCTCAGGCTAAGGCCTGGCTGGGGCGCATGTTGCAGGGATGAATTGCCCAAGTGGGTCGGAGGCGTGTGGATGGAGAGGAAAGATGGTGGGAAAGACAAAGAGCGAGGAAGAGGCAGATTCAGCCGGCCTGGATTCAGGCAGAGAGGTACAGGGGGTGGGGGGTCAGCCAGGCACCTGCAGCAGTGGGACAAACCAAGAGGTATGGGGAGGGAGGGTCAGCCAGGCACCTTCAGCAGTGGGACAAACCAAGAGGTATGGGGAGGGAGGGTCAGCCAGGCACCTTCAGCAGTGGGACAAACCAAGAGGTACAGGGGGTGGGGAGGTCAGCCAGGCACCTGCAGCAGTGGGACAAACCAAGAGGTACAGGGGGTGGGGGGGTCAGCCAGGCACCTGCAGCAGTGGGACAAACCAAGAGGAAGAGCTGCTTGGGTAGGCTCTTGTCGCTCCTATTTCGGGATCATGGGGGAGGCATTTGGGTGGTCTGGCAGGCAACCAAGCACTGTAGGCTTAGTCATTTGCCTAGAGGTGGTGTTGAAAGAGGGGAGAGAGATCTAGATCTCTCAACAAGAGTGTGGGCTGAAGGAAGCAGGGGGTTTGAATCTTGTCCTCTCTGCGGGGACAGAAAGAGGAGGTGCAGGCAGGGAGACATGGTACCTGCAGAGGGCCCAGGGCAGAGCAGGTTGCCGTGTTAATGTCTCAAGAGGGTGGGAGAAGGAGGGGATGGAGAAATCGAAGTAAACTTGGAGGAGGAAGGGTGAGGTTAAACATTCAAAGGACCAAGGATTGTTGGGCACCTGGTGCTCATCCCTTCCCTTCCCCCCTCCCTGCCTTGTCCCTGTCCCAGCTCCATTTGCCAAAAATCGGATCCTCCCCACCACCGCTTTTCCTGCCCACGGACCCCCCCATGGTCTGGCTGCTGGCCAAATGCTGGGTCCGTAGCTCTGACTTCCAGGTTCATGAGCTGAATTCTCATCTTCTGAGGGGACACTTGATGGCCGAGGTCTTCACGGTGGCCACCATGAGATGTCTTCCATCCATACATCCTGTCTTCAAGGTAACACCTCCTTCCCTTCTCACCTGCCTGCCTCTGGCTCTGCCCTGGCACACGCCCACCCCAGAGGCTTCCTCTGTGGGACCTTAGGGTAAGGGGAGAACCAGCCAAGGAAGACAAGAGAGCAAAGGAGTGAGGGCCTAGCTTGCATGTCATTTTCAGTGAGTGGTATCACCTCTCAAGGGGGGCAGGAATGATTCTTGGGAAAAGGGGTGAAAAAAGGTTTGCATAAAGCATGAATATTCTTATAGTACTTAGACAACATGCAAATGATGGAAGATTCTATCCAATCAGAGGAGACCATGCAAATAATGTAAAAACTATTTTCAGGCAGTCTTTTCAGAGTTCTAAAAGAGCATACAGGCTAGTTAGAGGGGCGCAGGCCCACAGCAGCAGGCTGGTGTACATAGACAATTAGAGCAAAGTGTTCACCTACTGAACACTCTCACTGGGTGTCTCCTGTGTGGCAAGAACCACTGTAGACAACTGTAGGTTAGGCAAAGTCCCTATCTTGCGGGATGTCCGTTTTCAGTAAGGTGACGCTAAAGATTGTATTGTCACAAGCCAGCTGTGACAAGTTTGGTGCAAGGAATTAAAGCGTGTTGGTGTGAGGGTGAGTTTAGATCGGTCAGGAACAGGCTGCCTTGGAGAGACGGCGGGGAGATGAGCTCTCCACCCTGGATGGGCAGAAGGAGGTGGCCGTGGTGGCCGTGGTGGCCGCGGGACGGGTGGGGGAGCTGAAGTTCTGGAGGTGGGCTGGGCGTGCTCAGTGTGATTAGACCACCTGTTCTCAGCGGAGGGAGCCCCAGCTTCTGCTGAGTACTGGGCGCCTTCCCTGCGGCTCAGCGCCCTTCCCCTGCTGTGCCCGCTCTAGCTGATCGTCCCCCACCTGCGATACACCTTGGAGATCAACGTCCGCGCCAGGAACGGGCTGGTCTCTGACTTCGGCATTTTTGACCAGGTATGGGGAGAGGATGGGGCCCTCTGGGGCTGCCTCTGCCTCCTGGCTCCATTGCCTGACTCTGGCCACCCTTGCTCCCCAGATAATGAGCACGGGCGGCGGCGGCCACGTGCAGCTGCTCCAGCAAGCTGGAGCCTTCTTAACCTATCGCTCCTTCTGTCCCCCTGACGATCTGGCCGACCGGGGCCTGCTGGGAGTCGAGTCTTCCTTCTACGCTCAGGACGCGCTGCGGCTCTGGGAAATCATCTCCCGGTGAGGGGAGCGAGGGGCGGGGAACAGGAAGCCCCACTGAGCGGAGCAGTGGCTTCAGCTCTTGGGCCCGCACCCCTCCCCGCAGCTACGTGCAGGGAATCATGGGCCTCTACTACAAAACCGACGAGGCTGTGAGGGACGACCTGGAGCTGCAGAGCTGGTGCCGAGAGATCACTGAAATCGGGCTGCAAGGGGCCCAGAAGCAAGGTAGGCGGAGCTCCTGGCCCGAGGTCCCAGACTCAGGGAACAAGAGACCACCCCAGAATCCTCTCCAGCTCTGTGGACTCTTTTTTTTTTTTTTTTAAGGTTTATTTATTTTATTTGAAAGAGTTACAGAGAGGCAGAGGAAGAGAGGGGAGAGGGAGAGGGAGAGAGAGGGAGATCTTCCATCTGCTGGTTCCCTCCCCAAATGGCCGCAACAAAGCCAGGAGCTCCATCCAAGTCTCCCACATAGTTCAGAAGCCCAAGCACTTGGGCCATCTTCTGGTGCTTTTCCAGGCCACAGCAGAGAGCTGGATGGGAAGTGGAGCAGCCGGGACTCGAACCGGCGCCCATTTGGGATGGCGGCTTTACCCGCTACACCACAGAGCCAGCCCTCTATGGGCTGTTCAGAAGCATTCCCCCTGACAGTAGGACCACTGGGCGCTCATAAGTGTTTACCCAGTGCCCGTCCAGAGCCAGAGCCCTGACTTGGAGCATTTGTCCATTTGCATGGTGTCAATAGTCCCACTGCAGCTACCCGGGTGATGTCAGTCAGCCTGCGGAGCACCTGGGAAGCCGACCTCATTAACTCGTGTGAGCCAATAGGAGCCAGCACCAGCGCCCCACCTGGCGGACCCTCCTAGCTCAGCTCCCTCCTCCCCGCCCGTGCCCCCATCCCATGTCAATTCCCGCAAGAGTTAACTCACCGTTCCCAGCCCCCTCCCCCAGCTCTGCCCTTGCTCCTGCCTCACAGCTCTGATTTCTCAATCCTCGCAGGGTTCCCCACCTCTTTACAGTCCGTGGCCCAGGCTTGCCACTTTGTCACCATGTGCATCTTCACCTGCACGGGCCAGCACTCCTCCATCCACCTGGGCCAGGTACTATCCAGAGGGGCTGGGCAGCTGAGCGCCTCGGGCTTGGAGACAGGGAGGGGTCGTGGTCAGCAGACCTTGATTCTGAGTCCCTGTCTCTCCTTAGTTGGACTGGTTCACGTGGGTCCCTAACGCGCCCTGCACCATGCGGCTGCCCCCGCCGACCACCAAGGACGCGACGCTGGAGACGGTGATGGCCACACTGCCCAACTTGCATCAGTCTTCTCTCCAGATGTCCATCGTCTGGCAGCTAGGCAGGGACCAGCCCATTATGGTGAGAGCCGGTGCCAGGAGCCCTGAGAAATCCGGCCAGCGGGGGAGAGGCTGCACTGCAGCCTGGAGCTCCCCCGGCTCTGAGCCGCCTTTGCTCTCTGTGCCAGGTGCCTTTGGGCCAGCACCAGGAGGAGTACTTCTCGGGCCCTGAGCCCAGGGCTGTGCTGGAGAAGTTCAGGGAGGAACTGGCCATCATGGATAAGGAAATTGAGGTCCGGAATGAAAAGCTGGACATACCCTATGAGTACCTGCGCCCCAGCATTGTGGAGAACAGTGTGGCCATTTGAGCTGCCTGCCCTGGCTGCCTCAGCCCCCTCACCCTTAGTAGTTGCTGGCCCACCCTCTCCCCCAAGCCCTGCCCTCTTCCCCAAGCCCCGCCCCTTTCCCCAAGCCCCATCCTCTTTCCCCAAGCCCCGCCCTCTTCCCCAAGCCCCGCCCTCTTCCCCAAGCCCCACCCTCTTCCCCAAGCCCCGCCCTCTTTTCCCCACGCCCCACCCTCTTTCCCCAAGCCCCGCCCTCTTCCCAAAGCGCTGACCTAACGGGTCATCTTTTTTGTCTGTGCCCCTGGTGAGCGCAGAGTACTCAGAATAATGTGTGATCGCTCCCTCAGCCTTCTCCTTTGCAATTTCCCTCCCTCCCTCGCTTCTTCCTGCATCTTTCAGGCCTCCCAGATAGCCAGTAGTAGCCACATTGATTCCAGCAATTGTCAGGATGGAATCAGGTGACAGTAGCTCGCTCTGCACATTTGTGAATCAGCTGTGATTTTTGAACCAAAATTGAGTTTAACAACAACCAAGAGGTATTTTAGACTAATGGTGAAAAACGAACTTAGACCCAAGTAGCTTAAATAAAATGTTGGCAAAAGAATCTAGAGATCGAAAGCTGTTTGTTTCTCAGCTGATTGGATTTAACACACTTCCCGAAGTCAGACTCCGCCCAGCAGACCATGGCCACTGAGGCTCATCTCAGTTCAAGGCTCCCCTAGAAAACGGGAAACAGAGGCAACTTGGTTGAACTGAAGAAGCCGCTCCTGGCTGGAGATAACTGGACTCAAGGCTTCTGCCACTTGCTTCTGCCACTTCTGCACTTCTTCCCACACCAGTTGGGAAGCTCCAGATAAACAGAATCGACTGGCAGAATCCTAAAAACCTCACGATTCTCTTAATGAGAGCAACAAGGGATTTGGTGAAAGTCCAATGTCTGGTTAGAATTTAGGAGAAAGCAGTCTGGGAGGGCTGATATACTCGAGGGTAATCTGTGGGTTTTTCCCAACAGAAACCCAAGGTACACACACCAAAGTGCTTCTTGCTCCTGGTTTGATTTAATCCTCAGGAGACATATGGCTGATGCTGGCTGGGAAGTGGGGGAGGAATTTAATGCTGGAATCCAGGAGAAGCTGCAGAAGCAGGAGGGCAAGGTACCATCCTTACCCAGAAACAAAGCAGTAAACGAGGATGGGACTGGGCTAGGGAGGAGGGACCGGGAGAACCTTTTCAGAAAACCAGGAAATTGGCTTTCACCTTTAGGGACCAGTTTCTGAAGGATTTTCAGTAAGGATAGAAGAGTTTGAAGTCAAACTCTCACACAGGCCCCTCCTTCTCTCTGGAGGCCACTCCCCCTTCTCCTTGGAGGCCACACCCTCTTCTCCTTGGGAGCCACACCCTCTTCTCCTTGGAGGCCACACCCTCTTCTCCTTGGGAGCCACTCCCCCTTCTCCTTGGAGGCCACACACTCTTCTCCTTGGGAGCCACACCTCATTCTCAGTTCTTTGCTGGGAAATTGTGCAGCTAACAGCTGCAGTGAGTGATAGAGAAAACCTCAAATCCTATTGCTTCCTGGAAATAAATTTGTTGAGCCTCAGATCTATCACAAACAGGCTTGCAGAGAATAAAAAAACCAAGGCATAATTTTTGTGTTCCCCAACACATTAAGTTGTGCCTCTTAAGTTCCGGTGAAGTTGCAGGATAAAAAGGGGTGGGGGGTCAGAGAGGGAGCTGCATTGCTCCTCAGTGGGTAACTCAGTTTCTGACAACAGACGCATTCTAACAAGTATGTTTTCTTATGACAAATATGCAGCCAGTAAATGGAAATTACAGCAAGTGATTAGCGTGGCGTGGTGGCCGAATGGTTACACCACCGCTTGTGGCATCAATATGCCAGATTGGATTGCTGGTTGAGTCCCACCTGCTCGGCTTCCAATGCAGCTCCCCGCTACGGCGCCTGAGGAGGCACTGAAAGATGGCCCAAGTGTTTGGGCCCCTGCCATCCGTGGAAAGATAAGAGTTCTTGGCTCCTGCCTTTGGCCTGGCCCAGACAGGGCTATTGTGTCCATTTGGGGAGTGAACCAGCAGATGGAAGATCGAGCTTGCTCGCTCTCTTATTAGTTCTAGACGTTCTTTGTAGATTCCCCGGGGTTCTCCACGGTCACAATCATTTTGTCTGCAAATAGGGAGAAGTTTACTTAATCCTTTCTAATACCTTTGCACTCCCCCCCTCCCTCTTTTTTCCATTGTATTGAAGTGGGTAGAATTTCCAGTTCAATGTTGGATCAGAGTGGGGTAGTGGGTGCCTTGCTTGTTCCTAAGTTCTGGGGAAAACATTTACATTTTTCCCTATTGGGTTTGATACTAACTGCATGGTTTTGCAAGGTGCACGATCTCAGTTTGATGCAGTTTCTTACTATTCCTAACTTGCTGAAGGATTTTTCCCCCTTTTTTGAAAATCATGAATAGGTGCTGAATTTTGTCAAATTTGGAGGGACTTTTTTTTTTTTTTTTGACAGGCAGAATGGACAGTGAGAGAGAGAGAGACAGAGAGAAAGGTCTTCCTTTTGCTGTTGGTTCACCCTCAATGGCCGCCGCGGCTGCGGCCGGCGCACCGCGCTAATCCGATGGCAGGAGCCAGGTGCTTCTCCTGGTCTCCCATGGGGTGCAGGGCCCAAGCACTTGGGCAATCCTCCACTGCACTCCCTGGCCACAGCAGAGAGCTGGACTGGAAGAGGGGCAACCAGGACAGAATCCGGCGCCCCGACCGGGACTAGAACCTGGTGTGCTGGCGCTGCTAGGTGGAGGATTAGCCTAGTGAGCTGCGGCGCCGGCCGAGGGACATCTTTTGACATAACAATATATCTCCTTTTATTATTTTTAAAAATTTATTTGAAAAAAAAAAGCCTATCTGCTGTATATGAAATGATTATTTACAAGAACTTATTCTAAATCAAAGGGGAGGCAATTGAGTCATTTTATTTTTGATGGAGACTACTGATGAAATTAAAGATCACAGAACAGAGAAAATACAGCACAGAGTGCATCGCCCGGGAGGTCTTGAACAATATAATTCACTATTTAGAAAAAGCTAGTGAAACCCACTTAAAAGAACCAGGGCTTCCCACAGGGCTGACGTTCATCAGTCTTGGTGAGCGACAATCTTCCAGGACCTTTCAGGGGACACAGTGTCTGGGTAGGTACATCCGAAAGTTTGTGGAAAGCAGGATTAAAAGCTAAGTTTATTTTGGTGCAAAAAAAATACCGCATTTATATGAGGGTTTTTTTTTTAAAGTTCACATAAAAGGCATATTATGAAAAAACTAAGGATTGCAACATTTTTGTTGCAATTTTTTATTTGTTGCATTTTTTATTTATCTTTTGCTTCCACTTTTGTTGAACTTTTTGAGGTACCCTCGCATATTTGGACTAATCTAGCATTCTTATGCCTACACGTCTTAGAACTTCTTCCTGTGTCAAAGGTCAAGGGTTTTAGGGCAACTAAACTTCCTCTGCATCATCTGAAACCGTATTTGCTCGTTTATTGCCAAGTCCAGCAAACTAACAGAGTCAAACCACATGTGCAAAACAGCACACAAAATGTATCCTCTCCCTTAGCTCCGCCCACAATTGGATGTGAAATTCAATCAGCTGTAAACTATCGCTCTCCTAGCCTTGGGAGACCAACCACCCTCAGAATCCGCCTCTGAAGGTGTGGATGTTGAAAGCCAAGCGTCTGTAATGCCCTCCATACACAGACTTCCCTTGCAGGATCTGCTCTTGTGTTTCATGCACGGACTGTTGGGACCCTGTTCTGAGCACCAGCTCTTGGTGAGGAGTAGGGCCGAGGAGGGAGTTAGGCATTTTTGTTCTAAGCCAAGGAGGAGCAGCTTCTCGGGAGAGGAGAGTGGGAGGGACTGCCCTTCTTGGCTGTGCACTTGGCTGTGGAATTTCACGAATGGGGAAATCAGCAGATAACGCTCTTGAGGGCTTTCCTTCCAGGCAACACAGTAAGATAAAATCCATCACTCCGTCTTTCCCCTTTGACGGCGCACCTGTGCCCTTCTTCCCCTTGCCCACTCATCCCCGGCAGCGTCTCTTTCCTCCCATGTGGAGTACCTAAAAGTCCATGCTTATTAAAAGATAAACAATAAAAATGTGCTGATTTGAGAGTTACAATTTTTTTTAAAGTCATAAGTTAACTGTGGCAAGTGTTTAGAACATAACAAAATAACAAAAGTTATTTTGGGAAAGAGTGTTTTCTAAGGAAAAGTTAAGGGGCCAGCGCTGTGGCATAGCTGGTAAAGCCACCAACTGCAACCTTGGCATCCCATATGGGCACTGGTTCAAGTCCTGGCTGTTCCATTTCTGATCCCTGCTATGGCCTGGGAAAGCGGTGGAAGATGGCCCAAGTCCTTGGGCCTGTGAAGCTATGAGGGAGACCCAGAGTTCCTGGCTCCTGACTTTGACCTGACCCAGCCCTAGCTGTTGTGGTCATTTGGGGACTGAACCAGCAGATGGAAGATCTGTATCTATTTCTCCATCTCTAACTCTGACTTTCAAATAATTAATAACTTTTTAAAAACATTTATTTATTCAAAAGTCAGAGTTACAGAGCGAGAGAGAGGTCCTCCATCCGATGTTTCACTCCCCAATTGGCTGCAACAGCTGGAGCTGCACTGATCCGAAGCCAGGAACCAGGGCCTTCCTCCAGGTCTCCCACATGGGTACAGGGGCCCAAGGACTTGGGCCATCCTCCATTGCTTTCCCGGGCCATAGCAGAGAGCTGGATCGGAAGTGGAGCAGCTGGGTCTCGAACCGGTGCCCATATGGGATGCCGGTGCTTCAGGTCAGGGCATTAACCTGCTGCGCCACAGTGCTGGCCCCAATAAATAAATCTTAAAAAAAAAGTTAAAGACATTTGAGAGGCTGGAAGAGTGAGAGTGATTGAGGACTCCCATGTATTGGCTCACTTCCCAAATGTCTGCAGTGGCTGGGGCTAGGAGCCAGGAGCTTCACCCAGGCCTCTGACATGGGTGCAGGGATCCAGGCACTTGGGCTATCTTCCACTGCTTTTTCCAGGCCGTTAGTGAAAGTAGGGCAGCTGGGACTAAAACTAGCACCCATATGAAAGCTGGTGTTGGAGGTTGGAAGCTTAACCAACTGCTAGAACGGATGTCCTACCTGGATGGCAGAACTGGGTGACTAGAGCCATCACTGTTGCCTCCCTGGGTACACATGAGGGAGCTGGAGGTGGGACTTGAACCCAACCACACAGCTGTGAGACAGGAGAGTCTCTTTTTTTATTATTTTAAGGAATACAAATTTCATATGTACAATTTTGGGAATATAGTTATTCTTCCCTTCATACCCACCCTCCCACCTACACTCCTACCCCTCCTCCTCCTCCCTCTCCCCTTCCCAGTCCAATTATCCATTAAGATTTATTTTTTAAAGATTTATTTATTTGTTTGAAAGGCATAGTTATAGAGAAGCAGAGGCAGAGAGAGAGAGAAAGAGAGAGAGGTCTTTCATCCACCCATCCACTGGTTCACTCCCCAGATGGCTGCAACAGCCAGTCCTGCACCGATCCAAAGCCAGGAGCCAGAAGCTTCCTCCAGGTCTCCCTCATGGGTGCAGGGGCCCACGATCTTGGGCCATCTTCTACTGCTTTCCCAGGCCATAGCAGAGAACTGGGTCAGAAGTGGAGCAGCCAGGACTCGAACCTGTGCCCATATGGGATGCTGGCACTGCAGGCAGCGGCTTTACCTGCTATGCCACAGTGCCAGTCTCAAGATTCATTTTCAGTTAGCTTTGTACACGGAAGATCAACTCTATACTAAGGAAATATTTCAATGACTTGTGCATGCACACACACAAACTCTTTGAGAACAAGTACCACAGTCAACCCATAATACAACTCATTGAGGACAGAGGTCCTGCATGAGAAGTTAGTGCACAGTGACTCCTATTGTTAATTAAACAATTAACACTCTTATATATGGCTTCAGTGACCATCTGAAGCTCTTCACATGAGCTGCCTAGGCTATGGAAGCCTTTTGAATTTACAAAGTCTGTCAGTATTTTGACAAGACCATAAGCAAAGTGGAGTTCTCTCTTCCCTTTAGAAAAAAGTACATCCTTCTTTGATGGCCACTTCTTTCTGCTGGGGTCTCATGGAGATCCTTCAGGTAGAACAGTTTTTGCCAGTGTCTTGGCTTTCCAATCCTGAAATGCTCTCATGAACTTTTCAGTCAGACCAGGAAGTATTAAGGGCTGATTCTGAGGTCAGAGTGCTATTTAAAGCAATTGTCATTCTACTGGTCTGCTGTGTGGACTGCTTCCCATGTTGGAACATTCTCTCCTTTTTAATTCTATTATAATTACCTGACACTTGATCCTATTTTATATGGTCTATGTAACACTTAATCCTACCTATATGTTCACTTTAACCTTTAATATCACTTTTTTTTTTTTTGACAGGCAGAGTGGACAGTGAGAGAGAGAGACAGAGAGAAAGGTCTTCCTTTTCCGTTGGTTCACCCCACAATGGCCGCTGCGGGTGCACCGTGCTGATCCAAATCCAGGAGCCAGGTGCTTCCTCCTGGTCTCCCATGCGGGTG